AAAAATGTAAAAATGTAAAAATGTAAAAGGAAAAAGGCAAGGGCTGCTGTTTTGTCTTGGTAGGAAAACATTCTGGTCACCCAGTATAATTGCACACTATGATTAGCATTGCCTAATATAGCCCACACTTGGGCATGTCCATGAAATCAATAACTAATGAATCCATAGGGTAATATCCCTTGGGTTGACTTCCTGGTGGAAGACTAGGTCCTTGTCTTGGATTAACTTGAGCACATGTGTTACATCTCTCAGTTGCATGGACACATTGTGAGTGAAGGTGATTGATGTACATGATATGCTGAAAGGCTTCTGCTAATGCACTCTTGCCCGTTTGAGTTGTTGAATGAGAGTCTTTTACTACTGGCCAGGCTAATTTTTCTGGTACAGAAATTCTTCTATCTGGGAGTATATACCATTTTCCCTGCTTATGTCCCTTCAAATCTACAGTTGCCTGGAGTTCCTCTGCTTTAGAATATCTTGGGGACAGTCCCCTTGGCGTTTCCAATGCTACATAAGCTGTCATGTCAGGATAGCTCTCATCATCTCAGGTTGCTGACAGCATTGCTTCTCTGTCAGCTGCTCTTCCCTTTTCTGCTGGATCCAAGCATCCAGCTTGGAAATTGTGCAGATCCCCCATACAGATATGGGATCTGTAATTCCCCCCCGGGCAAGCACACTAGTTGCTCTTCATTTCCTCTGCTGTTAAAAGTCCTTTCTCTCTATAAACTGCAGCATGGACATGTAATGTGAGGAATATATATTTAGAATCAATCAAAATATTTATACTTTCATTCTGTGTCCTTTCTATTGCTCGTATTAAAGCCCACAACTCTGCCACTTGAGCACTAGCACTCTTTGTTTCTAATACTCCATGAATTGCATGACTAGTAAATATAGTAGTTGCTGCCCAAAAGTCAACTTATTATCTTCTTCGATCAGAAGAGCAGTGGCAGCAAGGATTTTAAGGCAATGTGGCCACCCCTTTGCTACTGGATCAAGTTGTTTTGACAGATAAGCTATGGGCTGTCACCACTTCCCTTTTCTTGAGTCGAGAAAGATTTCTCAAGGTTGGGAAGTCCCTTAACATGAGCTTGAGACAATGCTTACTTTAAAATCTCAAATGCCTGTTTTGTGCATAACAGAGACAGGCTGGAGCAACCTGATTAANTCTCATCAGCTAGCCATACGCTTACTGGGATTTGAAGCTGGGTTGTTGTTTTTTACATGTTAGGCAGTTGTATATATAGTTAATATCTTGAAGTCCTCCCCTTATTTTGAACTTGAATTTTATCTAGCTCAACCTCTGATATAATATTTATATGTAGATTTTGTTTCATATTTTACTTGCAGACTGATCAGTCCTTTTGTAAGGATGATGGTGGTTTTCTAAGTTTGAGATATAAATAATATCTATATGTATATAATATCATATGACAAGATGAGAAAGACATTCAAAAATAATCCTATTTCTTTACAGAATCATTCCAACTAGGTCACCAACAAGTGGCTTTTATTTTTTATAGGTTATCAAGTTTAAAACCAAATTACCACTAACAATAACCTCATTCTAGATGAAATATCTTTTTTTAAAAAAATAGGATCAATTATAATGACACAAAAGTTGGAATCAAACTTCAGATTTTACAGAATTTTCTTAGGAAGAATGTTTTGAAAACTTAAACATGGAGAAAAAAACAAGACAGTGTAAACATTAAACCAGATGTCACAGCCAAAAGATCTTTTGCTAAGCTTTCAGTAGTTCAGCTTTCAGTAGTTCATTTGTTAAAGAAAGGTGCATTAGGTGTCTAGTTTCACCCAGCATACAAAACTTTCCCCAGTTCTAAAAATACAAAAGGCATTGATCCCCAATTTGTTTTTTACTGCCAACTAAAAATGCTGAGTCATTACCATCACTGTATGATGAATTTGAATGAATCAGCCAACCATTTGAACTTCGTGGTCTGAACTGAATATTAACTCTGGTATTCATGGAATCAAGCGTCACATTCCTGTCCCTCTTCTATCTTTCAGTCATGTATAAATAGATGATATATAGAAGCATACTTAACATTCAGTACATTTTGTATCAACTGGATTTGACCTCTTTTGTGAAAATTCAACCTGCTTCAATACTTTCAACTTAGGAAACCAAGTCAAGAGTATTAAATAATATAGGATGGAGATATTTTTCTTTCTGAAAACATAAAAGCAATAAGTAACTATGTCACAAGGATCTAAGTGTCCACCATTTTGTTGCAGGAAATTAAGGGCCTCAGATATCGGAATCAAAAGAAGTGGCTTTATTGGTATCAGGTTCAGAGCAAATTAAGGCAAGACAGCCATTTGAACATCTGAAC